CGCCTGCCCGCAGCCTCGGATAAGGCGGTTTACGGTCTTAACGTGTATTCAAGGTAAATCCCAGTGAAATCTCCCAGTTTCAAGCACGTGTGGGCAGGCGTGCTGCTTCCCCGCTCAACATGTGTCACCTCCGGGGATGTCCTGGCATGGTACCAGGCAGGCACAAGACAAGGGGTTATTGTCCCGCCGCCCCGAGCCCCACGGGCAGCAGCTTCCCAAGGTGGTCGGCCGAGTGTGACGGATGCACGGACTGCTTTGTCCTCGCCAGTGGCAGGGGGTGACATTCCTCTGCACGGCAAGGCCCGCCGCGGGAGGCAATCCCCCCTCCGCAGTGTTTTGGATAAGGAAAAGGGATGCAGGCAGGGGCGAAGGCGGATGCTTCGGTCTCCGGCCACGCGGCCGATGGGAAAGGCAGAGGATGGGATTTTGCACCATGATATAGAAACCCTCGGATCACACTTCACGTGCAAACCCTGCTGCTGCCCCCGCCAAGCCCCAGCAAACTCCTGCTTGCACCAGGTTTTGCTGCATGTGCGGGAACCGCACCGGTAACAGCCGCCTGCCGGCATGACCGCCGCACTCGCACAGCCGCGGTGTTGTAAATCATGGTTTGACCCCAGGTTTGCACCGGCTGCCGGCCCTCTGCGAAGGGTTGGCCTTGTCATCTCGTACGGTGACACCCGCCACTGATTTACGACCGGGTTGGGAGCAGGGCTGTGACACACCAGACACCTCCTCACCCTCCCGCAGACGGCTGCGGCAGCACCCGGCCCTTTCCCTGCCGCTCCGCTCCTTCCCTGGGCATCGCCCAGGTGCGGAGGCAGCAGGGCTGGATGCGGCCGTGCGGCAAAGCTTGTTACCGTGTCCCCGCAGCCCTCTCCTGCGAACGGGGCAGGAGCTGCACTCGGCCATGACCCGGCCCTGACCGCGGCGAGGAGGGCCAGGGTTAGGAGAGCCCGTCCGCGGGTTTAAATCAACGCCCTCCACTTCCCTTCCATGCTGAGTTATTGCACCCTGGTTTTGTGATGGAGATGACCAGGCAGTGAGGGATGAGTGACCTGGGCCAGACCACCGGGCTCGGCGCTCCCAGCCGGACCCTGGGCAAGGGGTGAAAGATCAGGGCTGTCCTTTAGCCCCTTCCCAGCCCCCCCACCTGCGTGGATGCTCCTGAGCGTCAGCTGTGATTTAGTGCGTTGCGGGTTCACCGGGAGAGCGGGCAATGCTCTGCCGCTGGAGGAGCCGCTCTCAGCAGCACATCCCCGCAGCAAAGCAGCCAGCTCTGGTGCTCTGGGCAGGGGCGTCCTTCTCCCCGCAATCGTTTCCATGTGTCAGCTGGGTTATTCACCTCCGAGCTGCGCTTCCCTCCCTCCCTCTGTCCAGGATGTCCTTAAGGAACAGGTTCCCAGGCAGTGAGGCTCAGGTATGTACAATGAAGCCTGAGAGGATGCCATCGCATCTGGGAGGATGCTATGACATCTGGGAGGACGCCATCACATCTGGAAGGATGCCATGACTCTATGTACAAACTTCTTTTAAAAATTATTACTAGTAATAGTAATAATTTAAGACCTAAACCCCGCCTGCCCGCTGCCTTCTAAGAAGCCATATGAGTCTTTCCAGCCCGGTGGGAGGACAAGGGTGTGCTGGAGGCAGCGAGCCGCGATGCGACGCTGGCCCGGAGCCGCCCGGCCGCCCCAGCGCGGCCCTTCCCGGCAGGAGCGGCCGGGACCGGCCGGGGCTCAGCCTCCTCCCGCGGCCTCCGGCATCCCCTTGTGGCAGCCGGAGGCTTTGCAAAGTCCCACCAGCAGCAAAAGGCTCTGCCAGAAATGTCCCCCGCTGCCATCCCGCCCGTCCCCTCCGTGGCCTGGCCGCCCCGAGGCTGCGGTGCAGCGTACGGGACCGCACCGTGCTGGGGGAAACCCCCATCCCCACCATCCCCCACGGGCGGGCTGAGACCGTGGCACCCCCCAGACCTCGTCCTTACACAACCGGCTCAGAGCCTCCTGCTCGGCCGTCACGGAGCTCCCCGGATAACTCCCTAAGCCCTAAATCTGCTCCTGGCCCTCTCCTGAGAAAAGGCAACGTGGGAGGGTGGCTATGGGGCAGGAGGTGTCACACCGGGATGGTGCCGTGCTGACCACGCCATCCTGCTGATGCAGCGGGAGCAGAGGGCTCAGCCCCGAAGCGAGGGGCAAGGGCTGGTTCTCGGCGCTGCAATAGGGGACCCGGCACTGCGGAGGTTCCCCCGTGGCATTCACCGGCTTTGGGGGCTTTCCCAGGCAAAGCAGCCCGGAGGGGGCCGGCAGCCCAGCTACACGCGGTGCTGAAGGGCTCAGAGCATGTCCTGGCTGGGGTGGACACCAGGGTTGGGAGGACACTGCAGGCGCAGAGCCCAGCTCCGGCTCCGCAGCGTTCAGCATCGGGATCCTCAGCTCGCGCTTCCCAGCAGGATGCGCCCAGCACAGAGGAAACAGCTGGGATCCTTCATCTGCTCAGCATTTGCATGTTCAAGGATGCAAGCATCGTGACCTTTGGGACTCTGCCTTAATGGTTGCTTTAAATGGAGAACGTGGCCTCCCACAATCTGCTTTGGGACCAAACTCATGTCTTTTTGCCATGAAAATAGCTGATCCAGGGACTAAAAGTGCCCTTTCCCAGAGCCCACGGGCCAGCTGGCCCCTGTACCTCAGAAAACATGTAAAAACCAACCAACCACAAAAAAAAACCCAACAACCTTTAAAGATGAAGATAGGAGAGCAGTCAGGTTTCATGTGGAATTCAGGAAACCAGTTTTTGCAGCTCCTTGGCTAACGCTGCCCTGGGCTCGCCGGTGCCCTGGGGGTTTTGGCATCCCGATGCCCAGAGGAAGAGATGGGCTGGAGGCTCCAAGGCACCTCTCAAGGGGGGATCGCAGAGTTTATTTAATGCACCTTCACAGTTACAGGTACCTGCGCCCTTGGTCGAAGCAGCAGTTCCCCAGGTTTATCTGATCAGCAAATTCATCTGCATATAAAGGGAGCTGGAAGAGGATTTGGGGGGGTTCAGTTGAACTGGTGGGGGTTGCTCAGGCAGCAGCATCTTACTGAGATGAGCGAGGGAGAGGTATAAAAATACAACTCTGGGCTCCCAGCAGCTCCTCAGCTAAAGGTGCTAAATCCTGCCCAAGCAGCCCTGATCCTGCTCAAGGTGGATGGAGCCATTTTAAGCAACAGTTTAAATTAAGAGATCTTGGCTAGCTGAGCTCACATCAACGTGCAGGTTGTCACAGCTTTCATGCCCAAAGGCCACCTCAGACCCAGAGCAGAAACCTCTTTCTCACTGCAAAGGGTAGGGGTGATTTTCCACTGTCTCTCGCAAAGTTTTCCTTCCTTGTTGGAGCCGGGATGCTGCCCAGCTGAAGAAGGACCCACGGGGAGGATCTGAACAGCCCCAGGTAAGATCAGGGTACGGTGAGAAGAGCATCTCCAGAGTCTGCTTTGGGATGTCTAAGGGCTGTGGGAGAGTTTAATGGAATTGCAAAGGCTTTCTTCCTTTCATAGCACCAATCAATTAATGGTTGGCTTCTACTTAAAAGCAAAATGGTTTAATTTCTGCTGCCAGGCTGCAGCCGGTCCCTCCCTGCCCCAGAGCTCCGGTACCAGGGCTGCGGGTTGCCCTGTGTTGCGCAGTTTAAGGAGCTCCTCAGGGAGCTGGGAGCTGCTCTGGCCTCTGCTCTCCTGCTGCTTGATTGTAAGGAGACGGATTTAACCCTTCTCTCTGTACGCTGCTCTGGTTCTGCTGCTAGGAAAGGTCTTTGCAGATGCTTTGATGTGCACCATTTAGGTGAGGAGGGCACTGTGAGAAGGGCTCAGACCCCGGCCGTGAGGCATGGGGAGGGATGGAGATGTGCCCTTCCTGCTGGCGCTTGGCACGACAGCCCAGCTGCATTCAGTGCCACGATCGGCATCCCTTCTGCCCTGGAGACGTTCCCGATCTCCCCACCTGCCTGGTTTCAATGCCTAGACCGTGGGACATTTATCCACCTTCCAAACTCCCGAGATGTTCCCCCATTTTCCCTGCTCTGCGCTGGAGATGGTGCCGTGGGGAGCTGCTCCCCACCTGGGGTTTCGCAACATCCAAGCCCCCGGTGCAAGCGTTTGCATGGGGCAGAGGAGGGAAACTGGACCCACGGGCTGTGCCAGTGGCTGGGAGCCAGCTGAGGCTTCCCGGCAGGACAAGGGATGCCGGGGCCCCCACAGTTCCCACGCCCGCTCTGTGTCTGCACAGGGGGGAGTGAACAGTCCGGAGTGCCCCCGCGTCCTCCCGGGAGAGGCTCCCCCCCACCCACCCTCCGGGGAGAGGCTCCTGGCCCCAAGCAGGGCTTGGGGCCAAGCTGGGCTCGCTCCCCCCAGCAGGGCCGGATGACAGATGCCTGCAGTGGAGGAGAACATGCTGCAGCCCCTGCTTCCAGCTCAGATGCCTCTGACCCAGAGCTGCACTACGAGGAGGAGGAGGGTGAGTCGGAGCCCTCGGACACCAGCAGCATCTCCTCCGACGACTCCGTCTATCCTTGCTACGAGCTCTTTCTGGGGGCTGGTGGTGCCGGGGACCTCAGCCTCTACCAGTGCTGCACCAGGAACGATGCCACGCTGGTGCAGGAGAGGCTGGAGCACGGGGTGACCCGGAGTGAGGCCACGGAGCTGGACATCAATGGGAGGGTGAGTGGCTGGGGGGGGCACCCTGCAGAGCAGAAAGAGGATTTCCTGGGAATAGGCAAATCCTGAAGGATGGTGGTTGCTAAAGCAGATGGAGGAGGAGGGAGAGTCCTGGGTGGGATGGCTTTGACAAGGGATGGGTCTCCTGGGATTGATCCAATCCTTGGAGCAGAACCTCGTCTGTCCTCCCATCCTGAGCCTGTCTGGTTTGGGGGGGGGGGAGAAGTGGGGGGGACCATGGGGAGCACCATGGTGGGGAGGATGGTGCAGTGCCAGCCCCGGTGCCGAGTGCTGCCCCCTCTCCAGAACGGGCTCATGGTCGCCTGCTACAAGGGCTTCGTGGACATCGTGCCCCTGCTGCAGAAGTGCCCCTACATAAACATCAACCAGCAGGACAAGGATGGGAACACGGCCCTCATGATGGCAGCCCAGGCGGGTAGGCACCGCGCTCGGCCTCGGCATGGGGCAGCCTCCGCGAGACCCCTCAAAGTGATGTGACCCCCTGTGCTTCCCCTCCAAAAACCCTAAAATGAGCCGTTGGGAAAGCCGAGGGTCCCGAGGGCTGTGACCCTCCCCATCTAAGTTTATGGTTCATCTTAGCACCGTTTTAAAACTGGGTAGATGATGCAAAAATGGAGATTCCCACAGCAATGTTGTCTTGCAACACCTCCCGCCTGAGCAGTCGCATCGAGCAGCAGAGCTGAGCCAGAGCTGCCCCACGTGCTCCAGAAAAGCCCCGTGAGCCGCAGTGATTTACCTGCACACAAGGTCTGAGCTGGCAAATGCCATGTAGGGACCACATCTCCGGTCACGATGGTTTTCCTCGTTACAGCAGAAGAGTCTGGCTCCCTCCACCCTGATTAACCATGGGGGAAAGGAGGGTCTCAAAGTGGGGATCACCCTTTATTCCTACTTTATCCTTGCTGGAATGATGATTTTTTCTGAGCTGGCAAATGCCACGTAGGGACCACATCTCCGGTCACGATGGTTTTCCTCGTTACAGCAGAAGAGTCTGGCTCCCTCCACCCTGATTAACCATGGGGGAAAGGAGGGTCTCAAAGTGGGGATCACCCTTTATTCCTACTTTATCCTTGCTGGAATTGATGATTTTTTTTTTTTGCATTTTTGGACTCTCTCCTGCATCCTCTGCTGAAGCAGCTGGCGCGCCAGCGCTGTTCCCTGCACAGCCAAACCCAAAACAAAATAAACCCAAACCCTTTCAGTCCTGATCCCTCCAAGTTTCTGCATTTTTGTCCTCACAAGATGCAGTCGCTAAATACTTTCTCCAGCAGGCATCAGGAGTTATCACTCGTTAACTGTCGAAACTCTAATGCAGCTTCTCTCTGGCTGTTAAGGACACATCACCATCGTCAACTACCTCCTCAACTACTACCCCGCGCTTGAGGTGGACAAGCGAGACCCCCGAGGCCTGACGGCGCTGATGAAGGCCGCGATGCAGGGGCAGGAGGACTGCGTGGCTGCCCTGCTCCTGGCCGGTGAGCATCTCCCCAGGGACTTCCCGGGATTTTTTGGGAAGGGGTGGCACTGCTGCTTGCCCTGCGCTCTGGGGTGGGACAGGGTGGGATGCTGCGGTGATGGTCTCTGCATCCCGGTGTCTCCAGGAGCAGACCTGCAAGCGGTGGATCCCATCAAGGGGAAGACGGCCAGGGAGTGGGCAGCCTTCACCGGCCGCTTTGAGACAACCATGCGGATCCGGAGCCTCCTGCGGCGCCCGCGGGCGGAGCAGTTTGGCACCCAGTACCGGCCCGAGTGGCCAGCCCTGGCTGAGCTGGTGGCCAAAGCCCTGAGACCCAAATCCAGGGGCAAGAGGCTGTCGGAGAAGATCCGATCCATGTTCACCTTCAACTTCCCCCACGACCACAAGGAGGATGGCATGATGGACCACATGGTGAGGATGACCACCTCCCTCGCCAGCCCCTTTGTGGCCACCGCTTGCCAAACCATCTGCCCCGACAGCCCCCCAGAGGTGGGCAAGCACAGGCTGTCTGTGCCAGAGATCCTCGGGCAGCATGTGCTGGATCCGGACGCTGAGCCAGAACCCACCTCGTGCCCCAGCACCAGTGCATCCTCTTGCAACGGTCAAGCTGTGTCAGAGATCCGGCTCCTGCCACCACGCTGGCCAGCCAGTGGCCTGCTGAGCTTCCCGCCCCTGCGGCGTGGGAACAGCATCTTCCCCGGAGAGCCCATCCCGAAAATCAAAGTGAGCAAAGCCTCCTGCCCGACTGCCCGCTCGAGGGAGTGGAGGCAGCACGGGAAGGACAAGAACCTGCTGCAGCCACCCAAGTGGAGGTACAAGGAGCTGAAGGAGGAGACAGCGGCCAAGGAGGCGAAAAGCGAGGAGAAAAAGAAGAAAGGGGGGAAGAGATGCTAAGGAAGGAGTGTCGGGGTGGGGGCGAGGTCCCAGCTGTCCCCTTGGACCTGCTTGCTTTTTTGGCATGGGGTGGCTTCCTTCCCTGGCAGGATGGTGATGCCTGAGGGAGGAGGATGCTGTGGATGTACGCAGCTGAGATGCCCCAGCCCCTGTGGTCCCAGGTCCCTGACCCCCCTGCCCAGCCCCTCGTCCTCTCCTGCCTCGAGGGCGGCCACCCCAGCCCGGCTCTGGTCGTGCTGGGCTCTGACGTGCTGAGACCCTGCCCTGGGCCGGGCGCTGGGTCTGCAGGGAGCAGGTCTGTGGCAGAAGCTGCTCTTTTTCTTTTTCCTTTTTCCTTTTTTTTCTTTTTTTTTTTTGCCTCTTTGATCTTCCCGAGATCTTGATATTGCAGTGCATGGTGGAATGTGGCCATGCAAATTAAAATGGAAGTGGTTGCCATGTTAACAGGATTGATTTAGTGAATAAAGCTCAGGGTTGCTTGTTGGGCTGGCAGGAACCCTTCCCCCTTGCTGCCAGTGTCCCCTGTCCACCCCGTCACCCCCTCGGTGACATTAATTTCCCCAATCCTGTGTGTTCCTGGGTTGCAGATGGACAAACGAAGTCTCAGCACTGGGAAGCATCTCCGTGCTGCAGGAGGGTTAACAGGACCTCCAGGTGCCAGGCACAGGCTGGAAACCGAACCTGACGTGCTCGTGGGCTCCATCCGCAGCTGCCCGACAGCCCGGCTGCCCTCCAGAGAGGGGACGGTCGGAGAGGAGGCAGCTTTTGTGCTCCAACATTACCCAGGACAGGACCCAGTGGTCCCTGTTCCCAAGCAAACCACCCTCTGGGAGCTCCAGCCTGTGTCCACACGGAGCCCCGGGACCCCTCACCTGCACCCGTGCAGCCCCCTGGGACCCCCTCCCGTAGGGAGCTCTGCAGCTGCTTTTTCTTTTTTCTTTTTTTCCTTTTTTAACTGGATGTGCTGCAGCGGCAGTGCGCTTGTGCTCCCCATATTTCAAGCTCCTCTTAAATCTGGCTCCATCCCAGGGCGTAGGAAAGTGAAACCAGGGTGCTGGCTGTCCTGAGCAGCCGTGCTGGCTCCTGCAGCGCCTGAGCACCCAGGGTTTGACCCCCCAGGGAGAGCGACTGGCAGCGAGAGCCTCTCGCAGCGCTGGTTATCCAGGTAGCAAATAACCCTTGGGCAGGCATGCAGCCCAGGATGGAGCCCCCTCCCTTTGCCGCCCCTTTCTTTAGGGGGACAAAAGCCCCTACTCCCCACTTTTAGGCTGCAGCTCTGCCTTTCAGGGGGACGGGGAGGTTTGGGCTGAGTCGTGGGCAGGCGGGGAAGGATGCTCGTCGGGAAGGAGCTGCGACCTCCCTGTCTGTTCCCCTCCAGCCCTTGGCTCGCGTTGGGCTCCCCAGCACGTGGCTGCCCTCCTTCGCCAGCTCCCGGCAGCGGCTCGCAGATGAGCCGGGGGCGGACGGCACATGGAGCAGCCTTCGCACACGCCGTGCCAGCCTGGCTCCCGCCGTGCGGGGGGGAAGGGAGAGCCGGGCTCCCGCCGGCCCCTCGTCCCCCGCCCTCCGCCGCTGGGGGGACGGCTCGGTGAAACCCCGAGGGGCGGCTGGATGCGACCGACCACAGTCGAGGGGGACCCGCACCCTTCTGCGGGATGAAGTCGCAGCGCGTGGCGATGAGCGCCGTAATGATGACGGAAAGTCTCGCTTTAGCTTCGAGGGGGTGGTGGGAGGTTGTGCCATGGCAGGCAGGGCCGGCGCAGGACCGCGAGTCACGGTGCTGCCGGCGTGCCGGTGCTCAGCCCAGTGCCAAGGCGGGCGCCCATCCCCGCTGATTCACCCCATCTGCCCCAGACGGGGGCTGGCACCGGCGTGAGTGCGGAGCGGGGCAGGGATCGCCCTGCCTGTGGCTAAGAGAGCCTGGGGTGAGTTTGGAACGTTCATTAACGTACCTCTACGATCAGTCCCAGCTCCGGATGAATTTGCTTTCCCACAGCAGCAGTGCCAGAGCCGCAGCCCGGCCTGGGGCTCCCACCCATCCCTGCCCTTTGAGTCACCGGGGATTAGGACTTAGTAACTTTTAGAAGTTTTTAAGCAAGTATTTATCCCCCCCAGTGATGATTATTGTTAAAAATGTGGAGCTGCCCCATTTGGAAGATGAAAGTTCAGGGACCGAAGCAGCCAGCACCAGCCCTCGCCGGAGAGCCTGCGTGCTCAGCTTCCCGAGGAAACTCCTGCCTGCAGTCGTAAAAGTGGGGTGCCGGTGCCCGCCGTGTGCCTGCGCCTGTGGAAGGCAGCGGGGACACAGGAGCCATCCAGGAATAACCCTGGGAGTGGCCGATGGCCAGTCAGATCACCGAGACCTGCGCGCCGGAGCAAAGATGGTCACGGTGATAAGGCGTCTGCAGGCACTGGCTTCCTCCTGGGTGGCTCCTATCTGATGGAAACTGCCCGTTTCCCCTGCGCCGGCTCCGCAAACCTCCCAGCCCTGGCGCGGGCAAGGTCACGCGTGAAGGTCCCTTGTGTTTTATCCTGGTTTTGTGCTTTTGTTTGTTTAAACTTCCTAGATCATGGGCGATAACGGGGGAGAGGCGGCCGGCAAGACCTCAAAGCTTCGCAGCCGCGCTCCGCTCCCCTGGCACGGGGAGGCTCTGGGTGCCAGTTGGGTTCATGATGCAATTGGGGTTGGTGATGCAATGGGGGGGCGGCGAGGTAAATCAGGCCAGGCCCCATAACTTCGTTAGGAAAGAGGCTGCAATGCCAGCCCGCACGCTGCCTGCTGGCAGCTGCCTCCGCCTGCCCGCGGGAGCGGGTCACCGTGCCGGGGGCAGCAGACGGGTGAAAGGCAGGGATGGGGCTTGGAGGGAGAGGAGGGGGACGGGAGGAGCGCGAAGCTGCTGAGAGTGGGGTGGCTGAAAGAAAATGACCCTGAAGCGGCAAAAGGGGAAGCGGCGCTTCCGCTGCCCACAGCCCCGGCGGCCCCACGTGTCCTGGGGGAGGGGGAAGCACCCAGCCTCCCCCCGTGGGAACAGCCCCGCTGCCCGTGTCCCAGCGCCTGCTGGCGCGGCATCTCAAGGGCCGCAGTGGGGGACGGCGGGGATGTGCCGGCAGGATGCACCGAGCAAACCCCCTTGGCCCACCCCAGCTCTGCTCCATGCCCGCAGTCGGGGCAGAGCATCCCTGATGGGGTGACCGTTCGACAGCACCCCCCAACGCCGTGTTACACCCTGGGGGAGAAAACCTCCCCTGCCCTCCAGCGCAGCACCCCAAAAGTGTTGTGGCCAGCACCAAATAACCAGGGAAGACCCTTGGCCCTGCCGTGGTGCTCCCATCCCCATGAGGGTTGGATGCTGGAGAGGGAGGGATGGCCGAGCACATCAAGGTCATTCCCGCAGCATCTCTCCAGACCATTCCCACCCCCGCCACCATCAAAGCAACCGGCTGCTGTTCTGCCAAAGGCCTTTAGACGCTCGAGGAAGGAGACATGATGGATGTCCCCCCGCCAGCTGCAGCCCAAGGGCTTGGGTTTGCCTTGAAAGCCGGGAAACCAGGGAGGGAAAGAACCCGGCGAAGGACAGGGGCGGGAGGAACAGGCTGAGGGAGAGCAACCAGGATGGAGCTGGGGCCCGGTGTGCGGGAGGAAGGGAGGCTGGCCGTGGATGTGTGCTCAGCAATAGGAAATGCTTTATTAGCTGGGAGTGGTGGAGAGAAGCCAGGCAGGAAGAGGCAGTAATAAGAAACATTTTTTTGACTTCTCCCACATCCAGACCACAGAGCGCTTGCCAAGCGGCTGCGTTCGGACAACGGGGCCGCCGAGCCGAGCCCCCAGGGCCAGGACGGGGACGGAGACGTTCCCCCGCCGGGACAGGCGACGCTTAGGCTGCGGGAGCCCCCGCGGTGCCAGGACGGGCAACGGGAGGGGAGCAGACCCATGAAGCTCCTCCAAGCCGGGGTGCACGGCACGGAGCAGAGCTGCCCCGGCTGAGCCACACGCGCCGCCTCTGAGCTCGGGACCGCGGCAGGGAGAGTCTCGCCAGGGCCGGGCAGTGCCGCAGGCACCCGCGGGACGCGAATGCTGTAGGTGAGTGGGGAAGCGCCGCGCGCTCACGGGGTCTGGGGCTGCACCGAGCTCAGCGCTTCCCTCCTGGTTTACCCCAGTGAAGCTGAAATCAGGATTTGGCCCCATTTCCTTCGCATTCGGTGGGACGCCGGGGTTGATGTCAGTGTAGCAGAGGCTGGAATCGGGGCTCTGGCAGAGCCGGGGGCATAAATCTGGATTTACACCAGTGCAGTAGTAGCAGGATCAGTCCCCAGGTCCTTGCTAAAGAGTTGAAATAATACGCGGCTGCTACCGAAAGCCTGGAGCTGACATGGGAAATGGGGAATTTGGGTGTATTTTGAAAAGGCACGGGGAAAAATGAGGGAAAGTTGACAGCTCCGCTAGCCGGGGGCTGGAGTGAGGGCGGCAGGGCACCGATGGCAGCGGTGCCATAGGACGCGCTGCCTCGACGCACCCCTTCTGCAAAGCCAAACCCTGGGTCCCTGTGAGGAGGGGTGGGCGAGGAAGAGCCAAACGGCTGCTACAGAGGCTCCGTTTTGAGAACAAAGTGCCTAAAAGCGAAGGTGGTGTGAGCCGTGCCGTGGGAGCTCTGCCCTGCTGCCAGCGTTCAAACCCTGCCGCAAGGTCGGGGCAGGAACGCTCCCCTCCTCCCGGCTCTGCATGAGGAGCCGCGTGCGATGCCGGCCCCACGAAGCGATGAACGTGAGCCGGGTTTGCTGCTCTCTTTGCATCTCTCGTTTATGGCACAGCGGTGCCTGTCGGTGCGAGAGGGGCCGGGGCGGCACAGCCCTCCCATGGAGGTCCCTGAGCTGGGAGTTGCATCCATCGCTCCCGCACCGACTGCACCGGAGGGTCCAGAGGATGCAAACAGCTTTGCTGCATGCGTGACCAACCTGCAGCTATGGGGAGGAGGGAGGAAAACCTCCATCCATTGCCTGAA